CAACCTTAATTTCTAAAAAACTCAGCCACCTACCCATCTTTCATAAAGACCAGGAGGTTAGTTGGCTTTCCTTTTCAGGTAGGATATAAGTCCAAGGTACATTAGCTAGGATACGAGAGTTAATGTTATGTGCAAAACACTAAACCCACTATAGATTAAAGTTTCAAGGCTACTACTATCATCATTCTGAAGTATGCCTCATCGACCGATAAGTCATCTATCCTTCGGAGGCTATAAATCTCACCTATCTGCATCACATGGATGAGGCCACCTCTATCTTTCTCTTTAGCATGCTCTAATTGAAATATTATCTTTTATCCAATTTATTTTCACTACCTTAGTCCTTCTGAATGATGATGTGAGTCGTGCATGTTGTCTAAGCCAAGTTGAACCTTTCATTCTCTTTGAATAGGAAGTTCTTAAACTCCTCCCTATATACCAATCCCACCGGAGAGAATAATGTATTATCCTTAATCAAGAATCTTCTTGGGCCTCAGGTTATGATGTAATAAACCACAAGGGCTTGCACTTAAGGGAAACTAAATCCCACATCCAATAAACCCCACTCAAGCTGATGTATAGGGCGGGGGGAATCTCATAACCTTGATCAGGTTATACATATTATTATCCCTCAAGGTGTATAGAAAAAAGTCACTATCCTCAATGGTTAATCGTATGTATGATCTCATCTACCCTCCCATTAGCGCGCTTACGAAGAGTACGAGGGTCTACGATAATTTTGTCCTATGGGATAGTGCGATCGTACCATTTACATTTTACTACCTGCCAAATGATGTCCTTTTAGAGGCCCATATTCTCTAACATATAAATTAGGTGCCCATTAAAGAAGATGCATTAGGCAATAAAAAATTTAGAAAGCTCTTCCCAAGAAAATATGGCTATAGTAAAGCTTATTTGAATGTTGTATAGCAACATATCATTAATCCATCATATTGATTGAAAATGTACCAAAAAGTTTAGGTTTTATAAAAAACTTGTAAATCATGTCCAAGGTAGGTCGTTGCAACATAAAATTTCTTATAAGTGTAAAAGGGAAAAGGAGCAGCAAGGTTAGCAATAAAATTGTCCTCAATGAACAAAGCTGGTAAACCCTTAAAAAAAACTATGAAAAAAAAAACAATTTTACAAGTAGAAGATGAAGCACCACCCTCAAGAACCTCCTTAAAAGAGCAAGATTTACCTTCCCTATTCGTAGTGAACCATGGGTTAGATGAAGATGGAGTCATCATCACCCTAAAACTATAGAAAATGTAAAATGAAGTAACAATTATTGTTTGAATAAAATTGAATACCCTAAATTTCTTCTTAACTCCCCTTGAATGAATAAATATTTTTATATAATGGAATTCTTTTAAGAACAAATAATTTTTTTTTAAAATGTTTTAATATATATATATAAGTGAGAAAGCATACAAAAGCATGACAAAGCACAAAAGCAAAACACAAAACAATAAACATAAAAATAAAAATAACACTAACACACTAAACAATCAAACTCAAATAATATTTCTCACCCTTTTGACAAGAAGAAAAAGAAGGAAGAAGGGAAAGTTGAAATGAAAGAAGTCATATGAGAAACTTTAATAATTGATCTTAAAAGAGATTGAACTATAATTCCAATAATAAGATTAAAGTCTATTAGATAAAAATAAAGATTCAAAACATTTAAATTAAAGTATACCATTGACAAAAAAAAATTAATCAAGGTCATGAAACATTCTAGACAATTAGATAAGAAGAATTATTGTAAAAGTGACGAAATAAAGATTAGTTAAATGAAATTTTCAATATAAAACATAATTGAAGATTAGATTGATTTGAATTTGAAGATTAAATGATAGAGGAAAGAACATATTTAATTGGCGACATTGCACATCTTTTTCAAATATTTGTGGCACACTTTGTGCACCTTTTTGTATTTGGGCTAATTTTGTGTCTCTTTTTAATTTATGAACAATTGCGCCTTCTTTCAAATTTTGCACATTTGTACATTTCTTTTTGATACACCCCTTTTTTTAATTGATCTTTCTTAAATTAATAATCTAAAAAATCAAATTTCTCTAATTATAAAGATAATTATATTGAACAGAGAAATAAAAAATAATAAGATATCAAAATTTCAATAATAATATTTAAATTATGTTTGCCTAAAAAGAACATGAGATTGATAGCCTTAACTTGATCGAGTTATAAGTTAACTGAAATTTTTGAAAAAATTAGATTTCATAATGAAATTAATTTTGTAGTGTTGGTTAATTTATATCACTCTTTAGATCAATTAACATAGTAATATCATATAGGCACGCTATATTTCAAACAACGAACAAAGCAACTAATCAAAATAAGTCATTTTTTATTGATATCAATTTAAAGATGAAATATATTAAAGCACAATTAATATCAAATCATAACACAAAGACAACAAAGTATCAACACAAAAGGTAAATAAAGACAAGTACACAAAGCATCGAAAACATGACTAAGTTCAACACATCTCAAAGAACTAGCAAAGGCAACACACAAGAAGAACATCTAGAACTCTGAAGGGCCTTGGTATGGAGGAGGAGGCTGATTAAAGATAGAAAAATATCTATTCATCATAGCTACATTACTATTAAAGGATTTGAACTGTCCTCAAATCCAACCCATGTCTTGTTGGTACTACGCATCCTGTTGATTTAAGTGAGTCTGAATTTGATAAAAACATTGATTAAAATGACTCTCCAACTGGTCAAAGTCCTAGACCATCTCCTAAAAGTCGGGTCCATTAGCAGGTGCAGGTGCTCCCCCTTCTTCTTCAGTATCCTTACTTGAATTGTCATTCTTCCCAAAAAGTGCTCAAAAAAACCATCGGTAAAGTAGATTGGCATTTCAAGTCGAGGCTCAGGATGAATAATGTTGTATTTCTTTCTAGAACATAGGTCACTAGATGTCCTAAAGTAATATTTTTATTCCTCCTATGAGAGACATGCCCAATTTCGGAATGGTTATGAATGTAATCAAGGATGAGTTGGGCTCATCTATAGGTTGTCTAGTCATGATTAGATAGTTAATAGTGGATATAAGAGGAGTAATGTTTATGCAATTACCAACCTTTGGAATGATTGAAGTTTTAAGGACATGCTGAACGATCATAGCATTTTTATGTAAGGTATAGACCCTAGGCAAGTGACCTACTTGAGAAACTCCTCTAAGAACTTTGTTTATTTCAGACTAGTCAAAATCAAATTTGGAGGTCATTATGTGTACTCTAATTCCTTGAGTTATTAAATGTAGAAAGGTTCCAAGATCTTCCCTTGTGAATTCTACCTGTTTCTTTAGGATATATAATCTTATCCTACTCTCATCCAAACTAAAAGTCATATTTTCTAGAAAACAGTGAAAGGTTTCTTTATGGTAGGCATGAATCAGAGTCAGAATGAAGGCAAATTGGGTGGTGACAAAAAGAGGCATTACTTGAAAGTGAATGTCTTCTTAGAAAATAGTCTAGATTGAGTGATTTTTGCATGGACAAACCTAAAGTAAGAATCCTCATTTTCATTTGACAGAAAGTTTTTGTCTACGCCACTTGAAGATGAACCCTTAGAGACTCTACTATGCTTGCTAGAACTGGTCATTGCTAAGATGAAAAGGATTGAAAGAGGCTATTGAAGTGAATGAAAATGAATTCTAACTCCCTCCTATTTAAAGAAAAATGATATTTCATACATAAAAAAATGAATTCGTACAATACAATAGTTTGTTCATATATGACAAAAATAATTTCATATGTATGAACAAATATATTCAAAACAAAATGACTTTCATAATCATGCAAGTTACGAAGCATCCTCTCGCACAGGCTTTTTGACCAGATAATCGTATAGACGAACAGGGGTTCATCCGGGATGAATGGTTATTTAAGATCATTTTAATGATGGTTAGGTTTGTCCCCCACATCGAAAGACACGTGGTTCATATGTATAAAATAAAGTTTCCTACATACGATCAATTATAATAACTAATTCTACCCATACAACCATCTACATGCATACAAACGAATGAATACAAATCATCCGAGATTATATAAATATCACACAGTATAATATGTATAAGAAAATGAAAATGTTATGTATTCAGTCCAAAACAACGGTCGACATGCTACATAATTTGTACGGGATGAAAATAATTTCATGCAGTATGAATAGAACAGTTAGAAAATTCAGCACGAATGATCAAAAATAGCAAATTTGATAAGTGGTGCAACACACAAAACATAAAACAAAATAAAAAATACATGCACAGAAACAAAAATAGAAAAAAATAGGAAAAACATACACATAGATAAATCATTGAAAACAAAACAGAAAATAAATAAAGAAAACATATCAAGTTTTCAGAAATTTTATTTAAGTATTAAGATCGATCACACCAAGACTTGTTCTTAATGTGTTAAAAGTATCAAAGGCTAGTGGTTTTATAAAAATATTTACAAGTTGATTTTCAGTAGAATATGATTCAATTAATTTCTCCTTTGGATACTTGATCCCTAATGAAATGATACCTTATGTCTATATGTTTGGTTTTAGAATGTTGAATAGGATTTTTTTGAAATACAAATGACAGTATTATCATAATAAATTTGAACTATGCCTATTGAAAATCCTAAATTAATCAACTATTGTTTAAACCAAAGAACTTGTTTTTTTTGAAAAAAGAGCTAATTACAAACTAAAGAAAAGGTGCACATTCCTTCTTCAACAAAGAACAAAGAGAAGGAGGAATGTTAGTGAAGGAAGAACTATCAAAGTAAAAGTTGTTATCAAAAGCTATAGTAACACACAAATCGGCTACCTTAGTACAATCTCTATGAACATGATGAAGAATTACCTTATTAAAATCGGCCAAGAAATGAAAGTTCTCCTCAATCCGATTGTAACCTTGCCAATTAGCCTTGTTCAAAGAATGTTGAATGAATTTGATAACATTGATGTTATCACCTTCAATTATTACTCCTTTAATTTCAAGCATCCACGGTTGAATAAGTTTTCTAAGAGTCAAAATAGCATTCATCTCAAGATGAGCAATATCCCAATGTGTTCTCTTTTCTCCAAAAGCAATCAACAATCTCCCTTTATAGTCTCTAAAGCAACCTCCAATTCCAGCACTATAAGAAGTAAGGAGAGATGCATCCACATTAATCTTAATCCAATCAGGCGGTGAAGGGTGCCCAGAAGTTTGAAACTCCCTAGGGAGGTTAGCACCCCAGCTATCAACGAAATGATTAGAGATTTTAACAGCAGAATATAATACATTAGAAGCTAAAGAAATCTTTGAAATTGCAGTTTTCCCATGTTTTATAGCATTTCTATTCCGCCAACTATGGTGCTCTGCATTGCAGTAAAGTCCAACTGTGTTTGGTGTAAAAGTAGAGAGAGTTTTCAGTTCAACAAAGCATTCATTTATGGATTCAAAGATTGGAATATAGAACCCCCAATTCTGGATCTGTCTAATGATATTCTGCAGTTCTTTGCATCGGACAACTATATAATCCAGATTTTCACACTCTAGATAGCCTCTAGCACACAAATCTTCATTTGTAAGTTTTCTATACTTCAAAAATTCATTGGTAGGGATTGCTTCTTTACTTACCCTCCACCAGAAAAGCTCAACACAAGCTGGCAGTTTTAATTTCCTCAACGAAGTGTAAAACCCCATGTCTCCTTCATCAATGTTGCTTTTGCTGTATACTTCATAAGCTCTGGCTGTGATGGTCTTTCCTGAAATAAAACATATTTCTTCCAAGTAATCCTCATTAGCATCCCTATCCATTGAGATCTGTAATACCAAAGTAATGATTTCTTCATTAAAAAAACATTGCAATTCCTCCAAATTCCAGAACCCATTCTCTGTAATAAAATAGCTAAGTTTAAGACCTTCCAAGCCAACACAGTTTTCTGTAATTGACCACTCATTTAATAGCTTATCTAACAGCCAAATGTCCTTAAGAACATCAATTCTCCTCCCATTAACCACTCTCCACCTCAAAAGAGTCTTTAAGTGTTTAGCTCCTTCATTCAAGATCTTCCAAGCAATTGATTTGCCATTAATACCATTACCTTGCCACCAACTATCACCATATTTTGCTGTCATAACCTAATGTAATAAAGAGTTCTAATTTTGTAACAGTCTCCAAGTCAATCTAGCTTTGAGAGGACCAGCTCTACTAACCGCCGAATGAAAGTTCAAACCTCCTTGAGCTTTTGGTTTACACAAAGTTTTCCAAGCAATGTAGTGCATACCCTTCTTTCCATCCCATTTATGCCAAATAAAATTCTTGCAACACCTATCAACCTCATGGAGTACCTTCTTTGGAACCAATGTGTGAGTAGAAATAAAGTTAGGTAGAGTTAATAGGGAAGTCTTAGCAAGAGTAATCTTCCCCGCCAAAGACAGACACTTACTTCCCCAAGTATTCAGTTTCTGCATAACCGAATCCAAAATAAACTTGAAATCAATTTTCACAGGTCTTCTCAACATCAGCTTTACCCCAAGATACTGAAGTTCTTCAACTATTTTAAACTTCAGAATTTTCTTCACATGTAACTTGTCCACTCTATTCATCTCCTTACTAAAAAATATTTGAGATTTGGCATTATTAACTCTTAAACAAGTCCACGAATAGAAATCCACAATAATTTTATTCAACTTGGTGGCAAGATGTTTTGAAGCTTGAGAGAAAAGCAAAACATAATCAACAAATAGCAAGTGACTGACTTTGTGAGCTCTTTGTGAAACCTGAATTCCCAAATCTTGACCTATTTGCGCCATTGCTAAAGAAAAAAGAGGAGAACAAATAATGTACAAATATGGCGATAGAGGGCACCCTTGCCTAAAGTCATTCTCTGCAATAATCCACTTGGAAGTTCTGCCATTTATGATAAAGGAAAATCTAGCATTCCTAACGCATTCCATAATAAGCATAGTCATCCTCCTTGGAAAACCAAACATGTTTAAAACTTGAAATAAGGTTTCCCAACTCATACTATCATAGGCTTGCTCCATATCAAGCTTAACCGCCATTAGGCCCTTTTTCCTTTTAGAAATTCTAAGCTTATGGAAAACCTCATAAGCTAGTAGACAATGATCAGACATTGATCTACCATTAAGGAAAGCTACTTGTTATTCCGTGATACATTTAGCAATGTAGTTTTTCATTCTATTTAAAATCATAGTAGCCACAAGCTTATAAGTTGTTTGACAAAATCTTATAGGCCTATAGTTGCACGGATTAATAGGCTTTTTTATTTTGGAAATTAGAACAATAAGTGTATCCTTCCACTCATTATACATAATACCGGTTTTAATCCAAGTGTCCTCCTCAACAATCTTTAAATAGAATTTGAAAAAAGAAGTAGTAATGCCATCTAATCTAGGGGATTTATTGTTACCTTGCTTGAAGACAACCTTGATCAATTCTTCTTTAGTGAAATCCATATCTAACAACTCAGCATCTTCATTGGAAATTCTTAGATTTTCTGGGCAAGAAGGCCAATCCGTGAGCTTACAATCTCTACCTGACCATTTTTCTAAAAAAAACTGTAAAAAATAGTTTCAATTTGCTCCAAATCTTCAACAACAGTCCCGTTTTCATCTTTAATTTGCCAAATCAAGTTCCCATTCCTCTTGGCTAAAGCATATTGATGAAAACAACTAGAATTTATGTCTCCATCTTGCTGCCATCTGATTTTTGATCTTTGATTCTACCAAGTGGAAAGTCTTCCCAAAGTCTCATTAAGATCATGTACTTTGCTCCTGAAAATTTTTAGCTTTCCAACCATTAAGCCTCCTGCTCTTGATTCTTCATTCTGAAGCTGTAGGATTTCCTTCTTCAAATCATCTCTTAATGAGTTCAGTTCTTTGCACTTGTTCTTATTCCAGTAATATAGAGCTTTTAAGGATCTCTTCAACTTCCTTTGAAGGATTTCCATAGTAGAACCAAAATCCACCTTATTCCAAGCTTTGAAAACAATGTTCCAAGTGGCTGGGTACGATTTCCATGTGTCTTCAAATCCTAAGAAAATAGATTTCTGGTTTTGAGGTTCTACCAAATTGATGGAGATAGGAGCATGATCCGAAGCAACTCTGGGCAAGTGACACACCTTAGCCATTGGAATATTATGAAGAGCTGCAGAATTTAATAAACACCTATCTGGTCTCTCCCAAATTCTAGAAGTTCTTTCCTTGTTATTACACCATGTATAGCTAGGACCCACAAATCCAACATCTTCATATCTTTAGAACCATTAGAAAGATGAAATATCTTTCCACCCTTCTTACCCTCCTTAGAGAGGATGCAATTGAAATCTCCCTCTATAATGCCTGGTTCATCACCAATCATACAATCTTCAAGCTTCTGCCAAAGTTATCTACAGGTTTGAGCATCGTTACCTCCTTAGACAGTTACAATGTTCCATTTATCCAAAGCATTGATGATAAGAGTTCCCATAATCAATTGGGAAGAATGATCAACGACATCAAAGGAAGCTAACTCCCTTTTCCACATCACCAAGATTCCAACCGACATACCAATCGCTGGATGATGAAAATAATCCCAATCACTTCCAATAATTTGGTTAATATCATTCCTATCAAGAGAAGATATCTTAGTTTCAGTTAGTCCAACAAAAAATTCCTTGTAGTCTTTCACTATCTCTTTAAGATATAAGGAGGCATCTCTCTTCCTAGCCCCCTACAATTCCAAAAAATGATGGAAGCCATTAAGAAACAATAGGGGAGTTATCCCCTATCACTTTATTAATTTTAATGTCCCCTCTCCTCTTCCTTTGATCTGTTTCCATAGGTCCGAATGATGTTAATTCTTTAGAAAGCTTGAATTTACCTGAGTTAGTAACTGATAACATTTGATCATCATACTCCTGTAAAGATTTAGAAACAACTAATTCTGGAGTGATATCAGTTTCATCAGAATCCAAATGCTTGGATTTCTTCAATAGCTCCGCACTAGTCCTCTCAAGAACTTCTCCTTCCTCCAAATCACAGTCCAAGGCTTGAAATCTATTCAAAATAACTGGGATATCCTGCACCCGAATGTCTTCAGCAGCTATAATAACTTCAAAAATTTTTAAATGCAATCCTTATGTGTTAACTAGATCTTTCTGTTGTTCAACAGCCTGTGCCTGTTTAATAGACTCTACAGGTTTATAAACCTATCTACTTTGAGTATTAGATCCATTATTCCTTCTAGCATTTTTGAATCTTCGATTTTTAAAGTTAACATGGATCCAAGGGCCATATTCATCTTCTAGCTATTTAGCTCCATCATCCTTAACAGTATTTATCTGTTTCAAAACTTCCTTTGATTCCTAAACAATTTCCTTCTTATCCAGAACTGCAACAGCTTCTGGACAAACATTTTTATTGTGTCCAACTCTCCCACACTAATAACAGAGAGACGTCAGCTTTTCATATTCCACTCGTTGAAAAGTTCTTCCACGAAGTCCTTCAATCCACACTCCCTTAGGGAGTTTCCTTTCCAAATCAATTCGAACACAGCACCGAGCATATTCCCTCTTACCCCACTTAAAGGAATTCCCATCAAGCATCATAGGAACTCCGATCATAGAAGCAATCAAGGGAATATTTTAATCATCCCAGCAGCTTAATGGTAATCCAGGAAACCGAATCTACACTGGAGAAGTAACACCCTTTAGCGATTCAGTGGAGAAGGATGACCACCATCTATCCATACCTATAATGTGGTTCCCAATATACCAGGGACCCCCACTTAATACTTCCTCCATGGAATCCATGTTAGCAAATGAACACAAAATCCAATTACATCCCAATGTAGTTAGATGAAAAGTACCATACTTGATCCATTGCCGTCTGAGTTCTTGACTACAAACAGAGAACAAATAGTCATGTCCCAACACCTTGATAACCAATAATTTCTTCAGCACCTGGGAGTTGGACATTTCCTTATCAGTATTGAGTTTGACAGCCAAACGATCTTTAGATAATTGGACGGAGTTAACATTAAAATTCAATTTAATATGCTGCATCTTCTACCAGGCCGATGTAAATTTATTTACAGGCACAGTTTCAACATTCGTCTTAACAACAACATCCACATTATCTTTATCTTTCTCAAAATCAATAGAAAGATTTTTATTAATCTGTTTCTGGTTCTCCAAATCAAGCATACTGGCATAATTCTTCACTTTTAGAACAACATCTGACGACGATAACGATTATGTATCCAGTTTTGAAGGAACATTTGGAATTACATTGTCTTCAGTAATTCGATCAGTTAAAACACCTTTACCTTTCCCTTCCACAATCGGTTCTAATCTCGCCGGAGGTCTATAACCTTCGCTGATCACCAGATTAGACGACATCCTCATCGGTTCTTGATCCTCAGAATCACAGTGATTTCTGATGGTTTTCTGATCAGAAAGTTTAGAGGAACATTACGATGAAGATCGGGTGGAGGAATACTGCTGCCAAGCCGCTGCCGGCGATCAGGAATCACCATCCTCCCAGAGCGCTCCGATCACAAAAATCCGAGAAAGCAGAAAATAAAAAAATAAGAACATTTTCTCTCTCTAGAAAATCCTACAGCTTCTCTGTCTCTACAATCTCCCCTTCCTCCACTCCATTTCTCTCTCAATGCTTTCTAACTCACTACAATATTACCCACCCACTCTAAAGTATGCACCTTACTCTCAACCAAAGAACTTATTTCCCAAGGCAATATATTCATCTTCAACAATATAGATAGGGTTATAGAATTATGCTTTTAATTGGACTAAGAAACTAAAGAATTTCCTATAAATTGACATATTCTAGATATACTCTTTCAATCAGTCATACAACCTACAAAATCCAAATCTAAATATCTAATTATTTCAAATGAAGATCTAAACTTAGGATACCAAATCCCTAAGTTCTGCGTTCCCAAGAGATATCTCAAAATCCTTTTTACTACCATCAAATGTGATTCTTTTGGATCTGATCAAAATTTAGCACACAAACAAACACTGAACATAATATAGGGTCTGCTAGCAGTCGAGTAAAGCAAAGATCCAATAATTCTCCTAAATTTATTTTGATTAATAGATTTTCCCTTT